AATACCGACCCGACCCGCGAGGAGAGAGAGATCCCTCCCGGCGCACCCCCTTAATCAATACTCGACGCCCTTCGCGCCAACCGCGAATATCCTCCCGATCCTCTCTGGACCGCGCGCGAGTTTCGGCACGCTGAATAAAATAGGATATATACGTCGGGATGTGATATATAAGGCGCGCCCGCGTTGAGAGAGAACTGAACAAAAGGCGGCTCTGTGCCGCAGTCTTTTGTGTATCAATTTACGCGAAAAAGCGACGATAGCGGTGTCGCTTTATTTTTAAATGAATCGATTGAATGAAATTACGCAAGAACAGCTAACTGTAAAATGCCATCTATTTTAGGAAATAGAATAAAAAAAAACGCTACATTATTTTGCAAACAAAAAAATTAATTTTACCTATTATTATATTAAAGATAATTTTATTTACGCAAAGGCGTTAGAAGAAAAATCTTGTTTTCTGCTGAAAAATCACTTTCTTTCCAATTAAGAGAAATCGCTGAAAGGTCTTACGCTACCGAATCGGACCCTTTTCTATTACCCACGAGGGGCAGATCGTTGGCAGGAGAAAAATGTTTGTAGAGAGTGTCGATTGCCCGGGTTGTGGGTAACGGCGGTCTCAATTAAATGCCATTGCATTACATGTCAAGTAGAATCAACGATCGTATCGACTCCCCGAGGACACAGCACGACTGGTCGCGTTGTTTCAACAGAAGCATTAATTAATTAAGGACTATGTCATATGTTGTGAAACAATTTGATAAAGTGCAGCATGATTACAAAGCTATTATATACTTGAAAATTTTTACTCGACTTTTTTCGTAAACATTTTATCATACGCGTGTTACACGTGAGAGAAAATTGCGGATGCGTTCGGGGGATTAGGAATTGACAATGATGCGGATTTAGTATGCAAATAGAACGCGGCTAGACTTTTCTCACGATTGATTGAAGCGTAATTTGAAATCGATAGTCATCGCTAATGTCTGTTGATTGCGTGCTAGCTCTATTACGGGCTAACCGTTTGTTGATTCCTTTTCCTGTCAATGTCGAATAGGAGCTGCCAGGAGCTGCAAAACGTGCCCACGGTGCCGCACCCTCGCGTATTCGTTTATGAGTATTTCAGGAAAGCCACGCAGGAATGTCAGCCGTCTAAAGATCATGCGGGTGAAGGATCCGAGATTAAATACTTTGAATACGTAACTTCGTGTTTCTCAAATGTACCAATTCTAACTATGCATCATGTGAATATTCTAAGAAATATTGCACTAGTGATTGCGTGAAAGATGTCAAGCTCCTTCTTGAACGATTACAAAGTGATAAAATTAAAAATTGGCTTGAGAAAAAGTACATTAAGCTTACAAAATATGTGTCTTATATCAAACTTTAATATATTGACTGGAAATTTTGAATAATATTAAATTAAGCATAAATCAATCAATATTTAAAATTACATGAAAAACGGTTATAATAAAATTTATGTTCACGTGAAAAATACCTCAAACATAGATGAGGGATAAAAACTCAGCATACAGAATTTCTATTGGCTCCCTCATGAATGCAGCTTGCTCGTCAAACATCATATAATATTGAGCTTTTATGATAACACACGGCGGCATATCTTCCTTTCGCAAACACATCGCAATCATTCGGAAGGCGATTGTCGAAAGTTGACTGCTTCACGGGATTTCTCCCGTGTACAAGACGAGTTTCCAGTTTTCAATCGTCTCCCGAGCGGTTGTCACGGCACGCTCGTGAAACCGGAAGTGGATCAGTTAGTCACAATGCCTACGCGTACTTTTTCCCGCGTCGGTACGTATCTCTATATGCATACGCCACGTTTTGCGCACGTTACGCATTTTAAATACGCGTCACACTAGGAAAGTATGACAAAGTTGCGCTCGCAGCAATGGCCAAAATAGAATTAACATCAAAAATGCAATTGTCTTTACGACGAGAGAGGAGGGAGACTGTGCAATAAAAAAGCCTGATTGCAGTGCAACATAGCACAAATCATATTATCATCATCCAAAATAAGTTTAAATGATGGCACTAGATTTATATTTTCTTCATCTGACGAGTCTAACAATTCGTTTAATATGAATATATAATGAGATATGCCATGTTGATCACTGCACTGAAATTCTTTATACATGCTTACCATTGAGCTATATGACATACTGGAGAGAGCCTTGAAGAAGTGGGAAGTGCTTAGGGGATGGTTCCCCTAAGCAAAAGAGAGAGCTATATTGCCGTGGGGTGTCTGTCTTCGTCACAACGTTTTTTATTGGCTAGCAATAATTATCTGTATTGTAAAGTCCGAATTAAAAACATTCTCCGAGAAATTCTATCTCTTTGAAGACAATTGTTAAGCATAATTAAGAGATTTATAAAAATTTATATGAATAATATATAATACTATTGCTATCATCAACCTTTTTACGAATAAAATTACAAACAGCCATTAATTTCTAACTGAGGCAAATGTTTTTAATAATGATAGTAAACGTAAATGGAGACAGACATCCCATGGCTACTAGTGCTCTCCTTGTACCAAAAACTGCACACTGGATCTTATGGGAAGGCTCCAATATGTTATAGAACTTAATATTGCTTCCCGCTTGCACTAGTTCAATTCAGTGCAGTGTGAACTTAGTACAGCAATAAGGAACAATCCTAATATAAGGTATTCTCGGTATACAATGCAGAGTTACTACTTTCCGTACATAGACGCCTTCTTCCGCTAACAAAACGTTTTCTCTGTAATCATATATAATAGCATACATGTGTATGTCATGAAACTGCGTGGGTTCTGGATATGAAATAACGGAATGATAAAGCATGCATACGGAAATCCATAATATCGTAGCACCGCAATATTAAACGACAATATAATTGGATCATTTCTCTCGGAGAAAGAAAGAAAGGAATAATTGAACATTAAATATTTTATTCTACAAAATGCAAATTAATTATAAACATTCTCTCGGATGTAAAAAATATTAGCAAATTTTCATCTCACATGCTTGTTCGGTATTATATGTGTTCTTTATAATTTTTAATAAGTGATAGATTTAAGAGAGATTCTACATAGTAGCTATACTTTTTCTCTTTTTAATTGCTAAAAAGTATTGGAGTTTTTAGAAAGAACAGAAAAATTGAACAAAGATGAACCGGTGCCAGGAGCCACCAGCTGGCGTGTCTAGGCTCTCAGTCCTAAGCTCTGCCATGCACTGATTATTACAGCTTTTATCGATTGTACCATGCTCCTATTTTTGATATAATGTCCCCAGAAACTCGATGAATTGATTGAAATATTTTAATTTATATACAAGAATTGCCCGCGAGCAGCAGGCCATAATTCTTGGCAAATTTAATCCATGCAAATGATTTTTAGAACTACCAATACAAGAGCTATTATCTGCAAATTTATTTTAATCTACTGTTTTGATATCTGGAAAGATAAAAACATTTTAATGTTTAAAGGACCTGGGACTCTTAGCAATGGAATAGGACTTTCTGTCAAATCGAATCAAACTTTCGATAAATTTCCAAAACTTTTCATTGCTGAAAGTTTGATTCGATTTGACAGAAAGTCCGATTCCCGTGCTAAGAGTGCCATTTTCTTTGTATAACTTTTAATTTAAAAAAAATTAAAAATTTTTAATTGTTAGATATTATAACTACGAGTATACAGAGCGGCATATCTCGAGTTACGCGAGGAACAAGTAAAAATCCAGCCGGATGTGCAGAAAATGGAACATTTGAAGGACAAGCAAGAGGATTTGTTCACGCGAAAAGTTTCCATGGAAGCAACGGTGGAGAAGTTGCGAGAGGATTTGACGAGTGCCAAGGATCAATTAGATTCCGGTACTCAGCGATTGGAAAAGACTAAGGTTTGCCTTTTATAATATTTTCAACTAAGACAATCTGTGTTACAAATAAATACAAAAGTATCACGCATTTTATAATTCAACGACATATAAAGCTTGTGAATAGATACTGAAATTTTTTTATTATTTATAGGCGGACTGGCAAAAGCAGGAAACTGATAGACAATCAATGGCCGAAAGCACTAGATGTTTGTCCGAATTGCATAAGATAATGAACGATGTTGAGTCATTTTTTAACAGCAATGTGACTGAGAATCTCGCGAAATACGAGAGTGAAATAAAGGCCTCTAAGGATTTGCTAACAGATCTTATGAACGAGAGAAAAGATGTCGAACAAGCGATAAACAACAAATTGAAGGAGGTTATCATGTGTCAAGAAATCAGAAGGAGAGAGTTACTAAACAATATGATGTTGCGCGAAATTAAAGAAACGGTAGTAGCTTTGAAAGGACAATGCAAGAAGTTATTCGAAAAGTTGAAAAATATGAATTATGACGAGATGGCGTACAAGTTGGATCAATTAGAAAATAAGAAGCAGGTGTTGCTTTGTCAAGTAAGTGATATATTTATATTTTATGGTTTATGTAATTTATATTAATATTGACTAATTAGAAATTGTTTAATTGTAATTTTAGATAAATGTAGCACTGGGAGATCAGGAAAAATTGGAAAGAGTAATAAAACAATACACGCAGGAGTTGCGAAAAAAGGAATACCAATTATCCTGTCACAATTACATCAACAAATGCATTGAATTAGAAGTAAAATTATATACAAAATAATATATGTTTATATCAATTGTATTATGCAATGATCAAACATGTAATTTCGGATATTTTTCTTGCATTAGGTTTAAGAAAACGCTATAGCCGATCTGAAAAACTACACTGGAGTGTTGGACGCCGCAATGATTGATTGCTTCAAGGAGCGCATGTCGACTGTCAACAAGATAATAAAGAAACTGTGGAAGCACGTTTATAAGGGAACAGATACAACCTGCATTGAAATCGGCATGGAACTTACAAAAGGTGCAGACAGCATTGGAAGAAGCTACAATTACAAGCTGATTCAAACTAAACACGGCTGCAAAAGATGGACATGAAAAGACGTTGCAGCGCTGGACAAAAGGTAATTAGTATATGCGTCGAACAATTAACTTTCGTAATCAGTGAAACACATTATGTTTATACAGGTACCGATCTGTTTTACCTTCAATTTTTCGTAAAATTCTTTTTTTTGGCTGCGTGGAATAAAAAATCCTTTTAAATCGACCGTGCGCTCTGTATAAGCATATATACTTTAATTACAGAAAAGGATTTTTCATTCTACACAGCCAAAAAAAAGTATAGTCTGTTTAAAAAAAATTAGTGAAACAGACTACTCCAGCATTGCCTTAAATATTCATTTTTCTGTTATCTTACCTCAACACTTTTATACACAAAATAATGAGAGGAATCAATTAGTGTAGAAAAAACCACATAGTTGTCTTCAAGAAAAAATATGATATGGTATCATTTCAGCTACATATTTTTTCTTAAAGACAACTATGTGCTTTTTTACACCAATCGATTCCTTTCATTATTTGCATAAAAGTGTTGAGGTAAGATAACAGAAAAATAAATATTAACGACTTATTTCATAGTTTATGTAAAATTATGTCAAAAAAATGTAATAAAAAAATAATTTCTTAATTGCTAATCTTTTCAGGTGCCGATATTCTGCTCGTTCTTGTTTGCCTTGAGAAGTATGACAAATTTACTTGTGGAGAGCTTGAAACAAGGCGGCTTTTTGTGGTTGACAGATCTCACTGTACCTGATCCTTATTATTTATTGCCTATAATTATTAGTGTGACAATGCATATCACAATCAAGCTCGTCACAGATGGTGTTAATCAAATGATGGGTGTGATGCGATACGTCGTACGAACGCCTTTCATCCTATTGCCGTTCATGTTAAACTTCCCTAGTAAGTAAGTTGCAGTAATATTGATGTTGCTTCTACAGTCTTGATTTGTAGAGGATTACTTTCAGGGAATGTTTGTGTTCGTGAAATATTAAATAAGCATTTATTTTTCCAAACATACAGCAAGTGTATTTCTTTATATATTATTTGTAGGCTATTTTAACGTATTTCATTTCTTTGACACAAACTGGCTTATTAAAGATTCCATATATAAGAAAAGCTCTTAAAATGTTCGTCATCGTAAGACACAGGCCTGTATCATCAGGTAGTAAAAAAGATTTTATCAAAGAATTCAAAGAATGTAAGTGTTGCATTATATACGTTAAGATATACATAAAATCATATAATTAAGTTTTAAATGAAAAGAGTGATAAGAATAATGTTGCGCGAAATAGTTCCATTGGGTAACTGAGTTTGGAGCTGTAGAACGCTGACATGCCGATTGTCGATGTCAATATTGACAAAATCATATTAGGAATATGAATAAATATTAAATATTAGAAAATAATTAAATATTAGGAAATTGATATTATTTTATTTCAAAACAAGAAAATGAAATGAATTAATGTATCGTGAATTAGGAAATAAAAATTAGAAATAATTAATCTATTCCATTCCCTTGTTTGAAGTAAAATAATTCCAAATTGCTCTTTCTAATATTTAATATTTATTCTTATTTCTATATAATATTTTCTCCATTATACGTATAGTCTAAAATTAGAGTAAAACACATCACTGTGTTTGTCACGTCGCGCATGCGCGAAAAACCGGGTAACATCTGCCTACCTGTTCTCAGTGAAGTATTAGCTTCACAGATTGCGACACGAACAAACTTTCTGTTCGTTACTCTTTATTGTTTTGTACGTATAGGTTAGATATCAATTATTTTTTATGTTTGTATAAAATATTTCAATATTATATGTTACTTTATTTAATTTCTCGATCTGTGTTTTAGTGAAGTTTAAGTAAAAGTTTTTAGCTGGTATATATATATAATGGCAGGAATATTGTGCGATCATAAGTAATTTTTATTTTAACGTATAAAGTATATTTTTATACAATAGATACGCGTTTAATTGTTGCTAATACTTTGTTCTTTGTGTATAGAGACCTTAGCTCTAAAAGAAAATCGTATATTGATTGGGATGAATATTTCATGGCTATAGCATTTCTTTCTGCAAAGCGGAGTAAAGATCCTTGTACACAAGTCGGTGCATGTATTGTTAATAATGATAAAAGAATTGTTGGTATTGGCTACAATGGAATGCCCAAGGGATGCGACGACGATAAATTTCCTTGGAAAAAGGGTCCTCATACCAGTTTAGATGCAAAATTTCTCTATGGTACGTTGTACGTTAAATAATCTGTTTTGATAAAAAATTTCAAACACTAAACAAGATATTAATCTATATTGCAGTATGTCATGCAGAAGTTAATGCTGTTCTAAACAAAAATTCAAGTGATGTTAAAGATTGTACAATATACGTTGCTTTATTTCCTTGTAATGAGTGTGCGAAAGTTATAATACAATCTGGCATAAAAACAGTCATATACATGTCTGATAAATATGCTTACAAAGTTGAAACAGTAGCTGCAAAGAAAATGTTTGATGCTGCTGGTATACAATATAGGTACTATTATTTGAAACTATAGGTACTTTATGATTTATTACCGCAATTGTAAAATTTTTTGGCAATTTTATTTTTTTTTTTTCTAGACAATACATCCCAAAAAATCAAAAGATAGAAATTAATTTCAGTGATATTGACTGGACTGAGATGAATCAATTACCACAATCTCCAATTAAGCAAAATTAAAAAAAGAGTAAAATCATTCTTAATTACTATTCTATTTTATATGAATAGTTCTAATTTGATTTTATCTTTCTTTTAATTTTATCGTAAATAATTGTCTCTCATTTAAGTGGACCATATTATAGATACAAAAATGTATTAGTTTTTTATAATTGCAAGCTAAAAAGTAAATAAAAATTTTAAAAGCTTTATTTAGAACACCATTGTGGTAGTATATAATAAAAGAAATTTAATTTCTTACTCATGTTTCTATTCATTTATTTACTTTTTCGACATTTCATAGATTGAATCGTTTTTAATGTTAATCACCAGATAGCACGTGAAATTACAACTTATGATTGTATATTGCTGGATATTGATTTTCTGAAAAGATCAAACACTAATATTTACATATAAAATTTAATGAAGAGTAGATACAAATGCAGGTAAAACAAACCTGCTGGTTTTTTCCAAGCTCTTTACAAATCTGATAAGTTCGAGTTTGTTTTAGTCTTAACCAGATAATGCAGAAAATAAATAAAATAATATACAGGAAGTAAAACAGTTTCAATACGACTAAGTTAGAATTAAGTATATGACAATTCTCCATTGATGCATTTTACCTGCTGTACAAATGTAAATAGTGACACGGTATTTCTTATGTTATGTTAGAAATATTTAACAATATTTATTTTTTCTTTGAATTAATCGGAATAATGTAGATCAGTTTTACATGACATATGGTGATGTAATATAATTAAAAAAAAAAAACGACGATTAAACGTAAAGATGATTGATACATATATGCGTATGGGTTAATACGTGGTAGTTTTATGTACATACTATACATATTCGAATTCAATTAAAATGTTATTCCACTTATTTCCTCAGTCATGAGTATAATGTGAGGAAAGATAAAGACAATGAGCATGATTACATTATGAAGTCTGAATTCATCACATAGAAACTATTATCAGAAATCTATTACGATATCTGCATAGAATACTATGCAATACCGTCCAAAATCAGCCTTTAATTAAAATATTTTTAAATTAAAATATTGACATTATACTTCGAATCAACGTCATTCTACTTTTGCTAAAGTAAACAAATCTAAATATCATAATATTATAATATTACAGCATTCTGACTTATAAAATTATAAAATATTTGCACAAATTTTGAGGCTAAACTATTTTGTAATATCAAATAATATAAGAATCATCGTTTTCATTATTTTTATCGAAATGTCGAGATAGACATTAGTTTTGTAAAACAATTATTTTAATTCTGTGTGATGAATCCAATTATACCCAAAGATGGAAGAAGATATGGTCTAGAGAATAATTTAAGCTAACTTGTCGTGCAATATTACTTTGAGGATTGAAAGGCAAATCTAGACAAATCAGCTTTTCAACTATTGACAAATTTGAATTCAATTCGCAATTAGCAATATTTATTTTCTATGTTTTGATGTCTGTGTCTATGCGCTTGATACAAATTTTTATATCGAGGTAATAACCTCCGGTAAAGATTGGAGCAATATGTAAACTTTTTCAAGGTATTTATACGTACAGGATTCACAGTACTTTTTGTAGGAAACATACTTAAATGAACACAATATATAAAAGATTTAAAAAGATTATAGTCTTCGGTACATGCACGGTCATGGAGTCCAATTGTTTTTGGTGATAATTGTACATATTAATGAATTGTTTTTATTAGAATTAAAAAAAATTATTATCACAAAATGTAACAAGTCCGCTTTTTATCGCTAATAAGAAAAGAGTGTAGCTTGATGACAGTGGAATGTAATTAGCAAATTATTTATGTTGAGTATACATTTATAATCAATATAAATAATTGTACAACCCATCGCCATTAAATTACAGTTAAATTTTATTAGTAGCAACAAAAGCAAGCATATTGAATTTCACAATGTCAACTCTTTTTTTTTATAATTTTGAGAAAGAATTTTCCATGCATTTACGGAAGAAACAGATGAAAAATGATTATTTCTTTCAAAGATAAACGATCTTATTTCATTAGATTATTCCATCGATTTATCACTTCTCGTTTTGTGATAGCCAGTATGAGATATTTTACGAGAGTGATTAAGGAGGTAAATATATATTATAACTAATACAATCAAACGTAGTAGATATCTACTATATGTTTATGATTACTGTTATGACGTGTTTGAGTAGGTGATTAACATTCAGACAATATTGATCAGCGGCAAACTCATTTTGTCGCTCATTGAAAGAAACTTGTAAGACATATACACTTATTGATATAGTACTCGAAATATGTACAAACATTATTAATTAGTTCAGTAGTATACATATTCTATGTCATTTCAAAAATTTGTTTACGAAAAAATTGAAAACTTATAAATATGTAGCGTTATTCCCGAAATTAAACGAGGTAATCATAACATTCTTTGAATTGTACCGGTTTTAAACCTTTCGTGTTTATTAAAATTTCTGCAATCCGTATGTGTACATACGTACGATGATATTCGCTATCAACACACTAACGGCTTTTCGATTTATGATATACTTTGGTAGTTGGCGTATACAATACGCAGTATCGTTCCTATAGTAACTTTCACAGAGACTTTCGCAAACGGACACTATTTCCTTATCGACTGCTCGATGGAATATCAGGGCTCCAATCCAAACGTAGATCATTACCCTGGGCAAAAAAGAACTCAAATGTATACCTAGGAGGAAAAGCGTTAGATCATTTTTGTTCACTCGAATCAACAGTTCATCGGATGAGGCGAACCAGAAGTGCACGATGCGGGAACGGAGTTCATCCAATGCGACGACGGACATGCACAGTACAGTACTCGGTGCTCGATGATCGTCTAGCGTTTTTCTGCCTCTACACAGTAGAGTATTATGTAGGCATCGTTGGAAATTGTACACCTTAACGTCGAGTAGAAATAATTGCATAGAGCGCGCGTATGTATGTATGTATATAAGTCTTGTCTTTTTGTACCAATGTGTTAGTCTCGCACGTCTTATTTTACACACTGCACGTCTCGTACACTAAACAGTCCGCACTTTCGTCGACTATTTCCTTTTCACCCCGATCCCCATCCCTCCCCTTGTGTTTAGCGTCGCCGTTCACAATAAGCAGAACGTGTCAAATTGATTGGTTTCGATTGTTAATTAATATTTAGCTATATCGTCCTCTCTTTTCCCTTTTTTTTTCATTCCCATAAAATTGCGGACCGTATCGAAGTCGTAGATCCGCGTCGTATTATAATTTATTAGGATTGTTTATCCAGCACTATCTCAGCACTGTTCGCACTACATGAAATACTCTCGAGGAACAGTTCGCGTATAACACATGCTTTATTCAATTAGTCATTTCGGTTGATATCTTTGCATCTTTTTGCTTCAACACTGAAAAGGTGATTTTGAACCACTTTTTAAGGTATTGAGCCAACAAAATGTAATGATATTAACTGAGCTAATCCTCTAGCGCAGACCAGAACGTTCCGCACCTCATTTCTCGATTGATTGACTCGCCTAACTACGATAAGCGATTCAGTGACGACGCTGCAATAGCGCGTGCCTGGATCAGTTCTTGATCGAGTTCTCTTTTTCTTGATGATTATTAGTTTTGGGCTCGGGCGGCCGAAATGCAGTGGCGAACGGGAACCGCGCGTGGCATTTCGCCATGTAATCGGCTATCGTATCATCGCAGTGTCCAAAATCGCCGTTGCGCAGCGCCTCCAGGACCTTCGTGCAGTTTTGCAGCGTTACATCTTCGAGTTCCTCAATATTCGTCACGAGGGACAGCGCCTTCGTCTGCGCGGACGGCTCCAGAACGTATAACATCCTCGCGCCTTGCAGCAGATGCGGCAGCGAATTTCTGTTCTTCTTCATGTACTCAGCGTTCAATGGAGCGGCCTTGGTACTGGAGAAGATTCCGGCAGTTTGACGTTTTACAACCTCGCCCACCGCTCCTTCCAGCGGCGATTTGTTGATGTGCAACAGAAAACGCACCAAGCACGTATGTAGGTCTGGATCGTTCGCGTCCAGCCTGTGAGCACGTTTTATTGAGCGTAGCATAAGGAGAGTACGGCCTGTAAGAGAAACAGACTACTTTACTATCTCGTGCCGAACAATCGATTTCGCGAAATAAAATAATAATCCATTTCCATCTACAATTTGCAATTCGACGTGCATGCATTGTTAAATGTACACATAAGTTACCTTTGCGGATATATATTTCGAAAGCCATAAGATGCGTCTCTATTTTATTCGACGCCAATTCCTGTAAGGGCTGCAGAAACTTTATTGCTTGTTCCAGTGGATCCTCGATCTGAAAAATATATTTAGTAGCTTGTGTTTATAAGTGTTCAATAGTTATTCTTTCGTTCCATTTCAAGATTAATTTAAATTTATAGAAGGTGATATTTATTCCGCTATACATAATTTATACCAACCCTCTCCAGCTTTTCCGGAATTAATTCATCTAATGTGGGCTGTTCGAGATCAGGGTCGTTCTGCTGTCGAGATTTGTTGTGCTGTTCTCTTTTTTCCTGAGCTTGGGCAGCTTGCTGCCGCTCCAATTCGGCCTTTCTACGCTGTTTTCTCTGTTTATTTCTCAACTTCTTCAGCTCGGATGGCGCCAAATTTTCTGCAAGGATAAAAGAAAGACAAATTTTAACGTGTACAAAAAGTACATAGTACAATAAGTACATAGACGCATATAGAAATCTTGTTATTGAAGAAAGTTTTCAGAGCAAAGCTGAATGGGATACGAAACCAATTCTACCTACAAATACATTGCAATTTGCAATTTGAACAAGTGACTTGTATGTAGGAATAATTTCCCATTTGTGATTCAAGACGCGATTGCTCAATAAGACATGAATGCGAAGTTGTATCGTTTTGAACCTTTTTTTTTTTATTGTTACGCAAGTCTTCCCCCTAAGTTTTCTTGAAATGAGTGAGACTAGTTTCGACATAATTTCCGCCGCTTTAACGAATATCATATAATCTTTTTTTAGCGGTGGGGGTTTTACTGACGCATTTGCCAAGGTTGCACCGTATTCCGCGACACAGTGGATAAAATATACTGTCCGGCTGGTTTCGCAGTCCTTTTCCCCACTTTTCCTTGCCTTCAGTCGTGGTTAGACCTACTTGACTGTTTAGTAGGTCTGGCATGCGTACACGTGTCTCGCGTGTTAGCTAGTCACGTGCCTGCCCGGTGGGTACCGTGGGACAGTGGCAGAAGTAGAAAGGAACCCTGCGCCAAACTGCGTAATCGCTCGCCGAAAACCGTAAATATCTAAAGTTCCGCGAAAAACGATTACCGGGGAAATAATCGTGAGGGATCATAACGCGCACCGACTCCTTGCCAGTAATTGAGTAAGGCGGGGATAACGTAATAACAAGACACGCGGAGAGAAGTAGAGTCACTTTTATTGAACTTTAAAAGATACGACGTAGGTTCTCAATTTGATTAGGATAATAGATTTCTATAAAACTTCTATCAATTTATCCGGAGTTTCTTAGAAAACTCTAAAATTTTTTTACGCGCAATAAATACGATAAAAATAAATTGAACATTTTAATTTTAAAAAAACGTTTGTGAATATTTGTATATTAATTTTATTAATATAAAATAATTGACTTAACAATTTTTTACGAAATTACGAAATTAATAAATGTTGCATTGAAATCATATTTTAAAGAAAGAAATGATCTAGAACTTTGGAGTATAAGATTTTAATGCATCGCAGTTAAGTTCTAGGCTTATCAAATGATATAATGCACGTTCTAGTAGAATAAAAAATAAATTTAAAAACTTTTTCAATATTTTCATAAATTAATTATCTTAAAAGATTAATTGATCAACGATTGTTATGCAAAAAAATGGAGCAAGAAGTTTCGATTGTTGCGTTAATCCTTGAGCATTTAGCTTGCTCAGTGGGTATTAACGCTTTAATTACCGCTATATTAATTCGGCATATAGCGCGAAAATCACGAGCACTTTCGAATTATGTAAGAGCTAGTCAATGCATTATATTAGAACGCGGTAGAAAGACTGCTGCTATGCTCCGTAAATTCGCGAATGATGTAGGGGCGTTACCTCAGAGTGAATTCATTCGATTTCTTGAAAGGCGATTCTACCTTTATGCCTTACATAAGAATTATTTACGTTGTTTCAGAAAAACATTGTAATCCGCGCTATTCATGCTGTTTTAAAACTGCTGTATATTATTAGCAATATCACTCAAATAAATTCATAAATCAAAATTATGTAGTTTATAGATCTTTTTGATATCGATACGGCAATATTACGTCTTATTTCATTTTAGCGTACTTCCTGTACGGAAACGATAAATTAATTTTATTAATGTCTACCATACAGACACTGTCTGTCGTAATTGACGTTCACCCTGATTAATGCTGAGCATTAACACGGCACGAACGTTCACTATTAATTGGGAATCGAGTATTCCCAAGGACCGACGGAGAATTTTTCATCCTTGATAAAGGCAAAAAATCCTTGATAAAAGTAAGGGAGGACCTTGCCGCGCTGTAAACGCAGTCAGGAATGTGGAGCAGCAAGCGACACCGCAAGCGTTTTATGCAAATCGCATCCCTCTACGTGCGTATGCGCGCGATTATGTGCATCGGTCCGCGTCTGATTGCAACCGTTAGAATCACTTGCAGCAAATGTGAAAATCCGATCGTCACGTCGGCCGATCAGATTCCCGCGAATCACCGCGATTTCGCCGCTCTCAGTACCTCCGTCGCATTCCAATGCAAATTCTCGGTTGTTTTTCCGCGACGTTATCCGTTCGATAACGCGCGCGCCGTGAATTTCACGTAATTCCGGTCACGTTAGAAAGCGCGATGCCAAGCGATTCGCGATGCACATTCGAGTCAGCGTCCGAACTGCTCTCCTGATTTATGCGCGACATATCGCGTCTTTGTAGGGTCCCTCGCATAGGCGGTGTTCCGCATTGCACGAAATTAAATCGTTTCCTTGATCGCCTTCAACGTGCGACCGCGCCTTACCGCGCACTTATTATGTCCCGCGCGTGATTTGTGATTTCTATCGTCGAGACAATTCACGTAGACAGTATATTCACGCCGTGCCGCTAATCATTGTTCACTTGCTTCGCAAACGAGAGAAATGGGGATATCACATTTCTTTCGCCTTTCCGCAACTTGTTTTGCAAGACGCATTATAAATCACTCGAATTTCTCTTAGACTTGTTTCTTAATAGACGAATTTATTTGATAAACTTGGTTTTAATTAAATAACACTTTTCGAAAGAGAAACCTCGCTCTATTTTATTAGCAAAAATTAATTTTTGAAGTTCAGAAATTAATTTGCGCAGTTCGTGAGAAAAACCCGAGAGCAGTTTAACTCCTCATTTAGGAATAACGTGCGTTGCAAGCATCGACGATGTCTAACACCTACAGGGTGATTTATGTAATGTGTTGCAACCTTCTCTGCTAACAATAAGTTTATATCGCGTCACGTCATGACAAATAGATCCCATTAAAAATTCATTTATTCGGGATACATGCAGCATGCGAGTTGTATGTTGTTTTTTTTTTTTCATTACCACGATATAATAATTTTGCACGTGAAAATCACGTGAGGAAATATCGCTTGTTTTTCCAATCCGCAACAATCATTATCATCTCGCGTGGGCGAAACGAGTCGCGTTTCAACAAAAGCACGATTTCCGCACCGAGGTCGCGCGCGCGCGCGCGCGCTCCGCGCAAGAGATGCAACGGCGCTTCGTGCGACGAATTCAGTCGGATTTACCACGTGAAATAATTGTGCTTACGTAAGGGTGGCAGAAATGATGGGGGCGGCAAGGTCGGCGCACGGGAAAAGGATGCCACGCTTGAAACGTCGTCATTAGAACGCAAAGACAAAGAAGCGCGCAATTGACATCTGCTACGCCGGACGCTGTCCTTTAATTGAGCGCTCATATAATTCTGTGGCACAATTTTAATTTCGCAAAGTGAGTCCTTTCCCGCGCCAATCTCGCGCAGAAGACCTTCCACGCGACCTGTCTGAGAACGTTGAATTAGGATGATTCATCTGAGATGCGGCAACGATTCTGCGATAAACGCGGCGAGTGCAACCCGACAAAGGAATTGCGTTGAGATAATTGCTATCGTCAGTCTCATTAAATCTGTCCTGTTGAATAACATTGTAGGACGACGCGAAAATGATGGATGCACGCAATGTATCGATAAACAATACAATTGAATAACGCGAAAATATGGAATATATTAAATAAAACAATTGAAATCTGTTTTCTTCCAATTCTCTGAATGGAAGTTCAAGAATGTGTCACACATGATTAATAGATTGAGCGTCACGCTACGCGATCCCGGGTCTCTTCGAGGAAGTCAGCGGCCAGAAATTCAAGTGTATCCGAGAAACCGTTTTCACGACGTCGCCACGTGAATCGCGCCGATTTATTATCTCGCGCAATCCAGTTCCGCGTTTAGTTCCTCCATGAAGCATGCTGCGGCGAGAGCGCTCGCAAAAATTCTATCGTTTAATTGCGGGACGGATCGCGTATTACATTCCTGCGATACCGACTTAATGAACGCGCATAACGGGAGGAATAATCATCGGCTGATTAATTACACTGCCCGCCGCGAATGTTACGGCGGTTATTTTGCCGAGCGCAATCAGTTCCGTTAAAGTAGTAAAATATGTCGAAATAATTCCACGATAAATTATAATCATTACAATCATTCGAACTGAAGCTTAAGTTGCTTGGATTACCTAATTGGCGAAGTATACGACTTTTTCTACCGTACACCGAGGATAATCAACTCACAGTTATACGAATATTCTATAGCCGGATAATATCAGAGTTGCCGAGAATAATGCCAGCATAGCGGTAATCGCAAGAAAAAAAGAGCCATTACTACAACCGCCATTCAGTATCTTTGCGAACAGGCCCTCCGTTACAAACACGGCCGCTTCTACGATACAAAAGAACGTTTGTATTAGATCCGTGGAAAAACGGTTTCGATGAGACGCTTTGATTCTACAAATAATGATCGGAAGATTCATTAATGCTTCTTACATCATCCTAATGAGTAGGCAGCCGCAAGGATGACATGCCACGCACGCCAATGTCGCTACAATTCAATCAAGTTATTAAGAATACAAGAACGTGTTGATCTTCCACATCAAAGATTCCGATTGCCAGCAATTATTGTCGAGTCACATTTATAATACCAATTACGTAAGATACAATAACGAACGGATACGCCTCGCGTTTCGAAAATTAAACTTGTTTACCTCTTGTTGATTCTGCCACGAAAAGAGTTTAAAAGATATTTGTAGACTAATAATTCTTCTTTGCAGCCTAATCAGCAATACGTTGTTAAAAAGAATTTATAAAAATATTTCACTTTTTTATATTTCATTTTGATGTTTTTGTAATTGTGATTTTATATCTTAAGCAGTCGAAAGGCTTTAATTAGATCGTTCTGCACTGTGAAAACTGTCAGCAAGGCGCATTTGCATCCCTAATGATTCGCGCGGGAACAAAGTAATAGCACAATATCTAATTTGCGATAAAAGTCTCACGGGAGAAATTGAAACCATAAATTTTAATGCTACAAATTATATCCGTT